TAATTGTAATTGTATTTTGTAAATTGTTGCAAAAAGGCCTTGCTTTTTTTAAAGGTGAATATTTTTGTTCAGGAAGCAGGGAGGTCTGCAGCAAATGAAATATGAGGGTTTTTCTCCTTTTTTAAAAAAAACACAGTTGGTTGCCAGTTACCGTGTGATTTTTTTGCGGCTGGGACAATGACCTTCCCTGCATCCACAGGAGCCCTTCGAGGGAGCTGGCCACTCTGCCTCCCAGTCACCATGAGGCTTGTTATTAAGCTACTGTGTATGTCTGTGCCTTTTGTAATGTGGACCTGCTGTCCATAAGGTAACAAACTAAGGCTGTCACAGATGCACACTAGGGTTTGCAAGTTAAAATTTAATCCTGGTCTTAGACATAGAAGTTATTTTTAAATTTAAGTGACACATGCTGCACAACAAACCCCAGGTTCTAGCTTTCACTCTACTTTTGCAGTTAACTACATGCAGTCAAAATTTAAAGGTGGCAAAGGCCAGCGGATCAAATCCATGACATTTTCAAACAGATGAATTTTATCACTTACAATGTCAAATGCAAAGAGTGTATCAAAGAAAGAGTAGATTAATACAGGCATTCCTGTATTTTTATTACTGATGTAGGAATACTCCCTAATGGTGAAAAGCCATTGCCACCATCTCTGGCTCCCAGTAGTATCTGTGACACACCTCCAGAGATGAAACTCCTCCACTTTCCAGATGGAATCCTTGCTTTCCTCCCCACTCTGGCAGCTATCCTTACAAAATCGTCTCCACCTCTTCCCCCAACTCCTAGCCCTGTTGCAGCCTAAAAGATAGAGACTTTGCCCCAATGTGCCTGAGAGGAAGAAGGCACCATTTGCCCACAGAAAGGAGAAGTGATGTTCTTTGTGTAATATATTAGGTGAAGTGCAGGTTATAGAGGTTTTCCTGCGAAGCCTTTTGTAAGAGTCCAAACAGAACAGTTTTTCAAGCTTAACATTGTTAATATTTTGGACTGGATGATTCTTTGTTGTGGGCTGTCCTGTGCCAATGTGCCATGCTTAGCAGCATCCCTGTCATCTACCCACTAGATGCCAATAGCACCCCATCCCAGTTGTGACAACCAGACATGTCTCTAAACATTGTCAGATGTCCTGGGGGGTAGGGGTGGGGTGGGGACAAAATCAGCACCAGTTGATAAATATGTAATGGAGAATATTTATATTCAAGAAATTGCTTTTAGTTGGCATAAAGAAAGGCTTAAAGAAAATCTATCCAAGCATACTTAGTAAAATGCAATAATCTCAAATTTTAGTTAGACCAGAAATAATTGAGTGATCCTTTAACTAGGAGGTAATAAGACAGAAGTTTGGAACATAGGCTTTGAAATCTATGTCAACATACATTGACTGACTAGCTCTGTGATCTTGGCAATCTATTTAATGCCTCTTTCCTTAGGGCCCTTACCTAAAATGTAAGGATAACTAGTAGTTTCCACCTATCTCACAGGGTTATTGTGATAATTAAATGACATAATGTATACAATGTGCTCAGCACAGTACCTGACATGAGTAAGCCTTCTCCAGGTCCTTGAACGTGTTCAGAGCATTCACTCTCAGATGTTCCATGTGCCCAGAACACATTTCTCCCTCCTCTTGGTCTCCCTGGCTCCTTCTCATCCTCAATATCTCAACTTAAGTAATTCCTCTAAAGGTCTCTCTGTCTAATCTCCCGACAGCCAATCTCTATTGTGATGATCAGGCATAGCACATTTGTAATACTCACCTTCTCTTACAACTTTTTATGTTTCCCTTACTATAAGTTCTATAAAGGCCAGAATCATGTTTGTTTATTCAATACTGTGTCCTCCACACCTAGCACGGTGGCTGGCCCAGAGTAGGGGCTCAACAAATATAACTATATGAACGAATGAATGAAGGAATGACACACAGGCTTTTATTACATTATCATCATCATCATAATCATCAATGTTTGTACTAAGCAAGTTAACTACTCTCCTGTTTACTAAAAATATTTACTTTTTAAATTTTAAGGTCAAAATGTCACAATAGTAATAATGTATGAAATAATTACAATAGATCATTTGGTTGAGCATCAACAGTCAAGCCTGCAGAGTTGTATAAAGCCTAACATTTACAGAATTACACAGAGCTGGGCAGCCAATCATCCTGGGAGATCCTCACAGTATGAATGACTTCGAAGACCTCCTTGTAGGAGAGTGGCCCTGGCAGTTCTCTCGCTGTGCCTTGGGAGCCCTGGCTACCACGCTGTGAGTGACACTCGGATCCTCCTCTAGGCCCATTGGGTCAGCCCTCTTTGTAGACTCTGGAAGAAGGAGTACTAGCTTTGTTGCTGGTTCACTAGCAAAGCAACATTTTGTCTTGAAATCAAACCACAGTTAAAGTATATTTGCTTTAAAATAAAGGAAGCAATATTAAAGAAATATTCAGAGAGAAGACCAATGCAGGGATAGGGCCACTGATACTTGGAACACAAAATAAAATTTTGTGTTAATAAATTTTTTAACATTATTTTTCATACTCTGTTAAGGGGAAAAATGTTGAATTGATAAAGAAATAAATTCTGATGACAACAATCTGAACTTTGAGGTGGCCAAAAAGATCCCAAGAGCCATTTAATTTTACCCAGCTATTTAAACTATGTCCAAGTTTTCAAAATACCCCTTTTTAAAAAGTGACTTTTTTTTAAGTCATGGATAAAGATGGAAAATGAGGAACACCTGTAGACCTTAATTTGAGGCTGTGGCAGACTCTGCAAAGTGCTGAAAAATGCTGTTTGACACCAAGACAAGATACCAAAGTGGATCATTAAAGGGACAGTGTGAGTTAGGACTAACCACACTATCAGTGCATTCAGTATGCGTTCAGACTAACCTCAAATTAGAAATGTAGCCGACATCATGTATCTGGGTTTTGGCAAAAAGGCTTTGATAAAGAGTCTCATGATATTCTTTGAAAAAGGATACAGACACATGGGCTGAATGATATGAACACTTTCTTTAAGAGAGCTTTCTATGTAACTGAAGAATCACACAAAATGCAACCATGTCCATCTGAGAGCATGTTCTAGTGCTTAGCGCTGCGTTGCTGTCCTATGCATTTTTGGCACCTTTAATGGAAATAAATCTTCTAAAACAAAGCTTGGCAAAAATAAAAAAATCTGTAGCCAGATGGCAAATATCTTACATACAGCTTCCATCACATGTTTTCTTGAAAAAAAATTGTAAATTTTACAATCATTCTTCGCTCAAGGGCTATATAAAACTGAGAGCAAATCATATTTCCCATGGGACATAGTTTGCCATCCCCTGTTCAAGGATGTATCAAAGTTGAGGACATGAGGGAGAATAAATATATTGCTTGACAGGATAGGATCTATACAGACATCATGAGGTTCATGGCACATTAGAACTGGAAGGGTCCTGAAACCTAGAGATCATCTGGACAAAGACCTCCTGATCTATTCACTGGTCAAACTGGGACATCCGGGGATTATGGGCTGGCAGAAATATATTTTAAAAAATGCATGGGCTTCTATTTGAAATCCCAAACTCCTAATTATATGAAAACGAGGTTGCTGCTTATGACTTGACAGCCGAAGCAGTGAAGAATGGCATGTTAGCAGAGTCAGCCAAATATGGGTCCAGAGTGTGATGTGGTCCTAAACTCCAGTATCCAGAATAAGACAGCACCTTTCAACTGCTTGCCCTGGAGTATCATGGCAGTAGTCACTGTTATAATATGTGAGGAAGGCTGAAGAAATTGGAGGTGTTTAAACTGGAGGATGTGAATAACAGGATTTTAGAAACTGCAGAGCACAATAATGCTATATGAGCCAAGAATGAGCTGGTTCTTATTGTAAGCCTTGACTGGGAGAGCAGGCGGCAGGGGAGAGAAGTGATGGTGACAGCTGCCTACAGTGCCAATGGCTGCTGGGACACTGGATAGAATGTATTCATGTGCTTAATTCTCTCTTTAAGTCAAACAGCACAAAATATTTAGTCAGTAAAAGGGTCTATTCATTTTTTCTCGAGCAATAGTCCAACATCTCAGGTAAAAGGCTGTTAAGGAAAGAAATACTATCATTATGACCAATCAAACTGTGTGGTCCCAGATGGAAACTGGGGAACTCCACGCTTACACTATGCTTAACTCTTTCTTCCCTTATCTTTCCTAAGTCTAACTTTGCCCTCTGTAGATAAGACACATCAACTCCTACTAAATTTGCTCCTTTTTGTATATGACAATCCTTGAGATATTTGAAGACATACGCTCCCTAAATCTTTGCTGCTTCGGGAAACATCACTAATTTCTTCTACAGTTCATTAAGTCTCACACATGCCATAGTTTTCAGACTGCCACATCCTATGAGATCAATTCAGAGTTTAAAATATTATTTTTATATGTAAGGTTCCATTTGATCCTGTGGAGGCAGGGAAAGTTTCATTCTCATTCTGTCTTTCTCTCTCTCTCTCTCTCTCTCTCTCTCTCTCTCTCTCTCTAGATAATGAGAGAGAGAGAGAGAGAGTGCATTAGGCAGGCAAGTCAACTGAACAAAGTCCAGGAAATTTGCATTACTTGTCTGACACATAGAGTTAGAGAGTGTGTCAGGTCCAGGATTATTACCAAGTCTTTTGAGTTCTAAGACCATGCTCTCCCAGATCCTGTATTAAAGGCTACACAGTTTAAAGGGACTCACTTAGTGTGGTTTGAAATATGGTAATAGAATCTTCAGCAGCACATACCTCAGGGTAAATGTGCTAAATCATCCTGAGTAGAAACAATATAAGAAACAGGATGGGGGGACAAAATGACCAATGTGGGCATCTTTTCTCCAGTTCAAATCACCTTGGTTCTTTTACCCTCTATTCTATTTCAATCCATCACGAAATTTCTAGAGACACTCCTAAGAGGTAATAATATTTACCAAATAAAACTTTAGAGATATCAAGTTCATACCATCCCAAATTCATTTCTACAGACCTGTATTTGAAGCTGGAATTGTGGGTGAACAGTTCTCCTTGGCACATGTTTCCATCATGGAAGTTAAAGTCATGGTAGGCACTTGATGACTGCCTAAGAAAACACAAAGGAAAATATGACATAGAGTCAAATATGCACAGGATGAAAAATGAACCTACAGTTCTAAAGACATGTAAATTAAAAGTATACGTACTACAACTTAGCTGTGTTTCTAACGTCCTAGGAAGTTAGTATGAAACACTGAACACAGTTTTGCCTATTGAAGCAATTTTGTAAATGGAGAATAGGTTCATAGGCCTACCCACTAAAAGCCTTTTATAACTTTTTTAAAGTGGCTGAGATAAAGTATTAATACTTTAGACCTTTACTACCATTTGTAATAATGTTTCTATCGGCAAACTCATTCAGGTTCTGATTTGGGATGCCAGGAATGTATTCCCCTCAATGTGGTTGGCAGTCCCTGAGCCCTAAGCTGCTGGTTCCTATAGCTGAGACAGGGACTGCTGGTGGTAGTGGTTCTAACAGTCAGGTATAGGCTCCAGGGAACAGGGCATCAAATGCCTTGGGGAGCAAGAATTTTCTGCCAGATCTGTGTTCAGGATCTTCTATTCTTCCATAGTCCCCAGGAATCCATCTCTTTCCTGGCTCACCACCTATTTTCCTGACCCAGAATAGAATACAAAACAGTCACCCTCCTATTTGTATGAAACAATGTTTCATTTTTTAAAAAATGTTGTTTTTGTTAGCAACAAATATGAAGTAAAGAGATTCCTCTCAAACTTATTTTTCACATAGAGCCGTCAAGGGAAGTCTTCATGATGCAGAGACAGGGGTGGGTCTAGTTGTACCTACAAAGGGCTGTGGCAGTACTGAAGTACATTTCCAAGCAACACCACACCATGGTTACCCTGACTCTGACTCATTACCTGAGATGGGGTAGAAATGGCAAAGGAAAGCTGGAGCTTGTTGGAAACATGATGATGAGGAGGAGGAGGCAGAGTGAGGCTGGGGTTGTCAGCCACACAAACACAGGAGCTAACAGCTGACGTCCTCTCCAGAAAGGGTCCACAGATTTACCTCATCCCCTGAGGGTGGCCACATTCCCATTAGCCCTGACTTATGGGTGGGTGGGTGTGGGGGGTCAGAAAGTGAGAGGAGAGGAGTGTGTCCTAAGCATCCTTCTAGGCTCCAGAGGCCCAGAGCTGAGGCCTGGGAGAGCAATAGTTAACTAGACGACATAGAGAGATACAGACACAATTATCATTGAACAGAGAGAGTGAAATACAGGTTATTTTTTAATGTAGGGCATTAGAGGAAGAAGAAGTTAATTATATGAGGAAAAAATCACCCAGAAAGCTTTTTGGAAACAGGTCCATCTAAAGGAGTCATAGGACTTAGATTCAGCAAGATAAGGCAGGGAGCAAAGGGGATGATTCCAGGTGCAATGTGTCTGACAAAAGGCGCAGAGGCCAACAAGGCATGGACCAGACAGAGTGACCAGAGCTACTGACCACCGCTTTGAACCAAGAACCCCACAGCCACTGCAGATCCTAAGGCTGTGAATCAATGAGAGACAGTGAGAGCTGTGGTTGGAATGAGGAATTTGGGCAGGCAGAAGAGAGGCAGCAGGTAGGGGAAGCTGCATAGGCAGCTCTTGCAGAATTCTGGGTGAGTGGAAATGAAGGTGAGTAACAGGAGGGTGGTCCTGAAATGGGGAAGAAGGACAGGTGTGAGCAAGAGAAACTGTCACCTCCGCTTCTCAACAGATACTTCCCTCTAAGTTCCTAGACTTTTCTAAGACATCAATTTCCTGAAAATTGCTCAAGTGGTGGTTACTTCATCTATCAAGCCAGATTCCTCTGGTCCTACAGGCAGAATCTGTGTTTCCAATGCCATTTGCTAATTACCCATCCTCTACTCTCATGGGAGCCTGTGATGGCTTCACCATTCAGCTTTAGAACTCTCAAGCTCCCCTCGTTGCTCCCATCAACTGGTTTTCTGATCTTTCCTTCTCATTTGCTGAAGAGTTGCATACTTCTCTGCACGCCAAATTTCACTGGCTACCTAGAGGTATCCTCAACAATGTCACTCAATACGTAGTCAACTTTGTGAGCAAACAGTGTCCAATACATGAAAGAACAAGCTTTGTGCTATGCATCAATAGAGACAATATATGGCATTAGAAATGAAATTTAAGATATTATGAAAACAAGAGTGTTTTTCCTAGGGCATCATGTCGTGTATGATATCAATTTACGAAACAAACACTCTTAATCTATGAATAAGGGTTTAACTTTGTTAACTGTTCCCATATTCTGGGTTTTCATAGTATTTATAAAAGCTTTATTTAACAGCATTCTATATGAATGTGCATAAATATTTTTTAGTAAAGAGTTTGAAATTTCTGGTCTACTGTTGCCCATTTTTTAAAAAGCAAAAAAAAAAAAAAGAAGGTATTTTAANAAGGAAAATATTTATATGCATAACACAATGATAATCAAATTACTATTTTTTAGATGATTTATAGGAAAAATCTATAGAGACAGAACATAAAATTGTGGTTACCAGGGGTCAGATTTGGGGAGTAGATAGTGACTGCTTCCCAGGCATAAGTTTTCATTTTTTTCCTTAGTTAATGTAACTAATGTAGAGGTTTTGGGGAGCAGATGGCTTATATATACATACACACACACATACATATACACAAACACAGGTCCCTATATTTATACCTGCAAAACTCTAGAAAAACACGTGAGGAAGAAAACAAGAAAGACAGTAACAGTAAGTATTTTATATTCTTGTGAATAAAAACTAATATCTAGGTATAAAATTTAGGATAGTCTTAAGTTAAATAACTTCCAGTCCACATAGATGATGTTTCCATTCTGTGCTTTGATGACTGAGACTTACTAATAGACCTAAATACCATTTATTTATCCCATAATCTGAGATACTACTATATATCATCAATTTAGTAATTAAGAAATGTTTGTTAAAGGCAAGAGAGAATATCATTTGCAAGGCATCACTAATTAAATCCTGGTTTTAAATTCAATGGTTTGAGGAGACAGAGTTTCATTGTTTGGTTTCTATTTTCTACAACTCATAGCCAGCAGAATCACCCAGAGAAACCATTAGCAAAGTACAGAACTACCCAGTGCAAAGTGATTTCTACCCAGCAAAGCAGGGGAGGAAGAAAAAGACATAATACACTTCAGAAGCTTAACCAAAACAACAAAAGGTAGGAAAGGGGGAAAAACACTTTAGAAAGCACAATAAATAAAAAATTCAAAATAACACAGAGAGAATAAACCCTAACACCACAGGAATCACACTGATTATAAATGGATGGTGTCTAACCAGTCAACAACAAAAATAACGATAGTATGTAAACTCTGAAAGTCACACACTGATAGATTTGGTCCATTAATCACAATATTTTGAGCATGTCTTCCTCCTATTGCTCAATATTTTGAGCAAATTTCTTATGATCTGATGGTTTCAAATCAAAGCATTTATCATTTTCAATTATTTAAGTATAATATGATATACTGTGATCAAACATGTATGGAATAATGATTGTGAATGATGCTAGCTGTTGTTTTGGGGAGACAGGGAAATGAGGAGGAAAAGGATTCCAAAGTTATTATCCTGCCCTGAAGTTGTTGACTGTCTTTTGCAATATTGTTAGCTTTATTGAAACTTTCTTACTGAGACTAATTGGGATGATGTTTCTTGTATAAATATTTCCCTATACACATTGACAGCTAATATACAGTCTAAGAGTACTTCACATTCCTGACTCTTAGTAGTGATCAAAAACATGTTCTCAAAGGAATGAAAGAAAACATTTCCTGTATTCGTGTTTATCTGTAATCCCGTTAACAAGCTATGCACAAGTCACATCTGCCATCAGAGAAACCTCGTTTAGTGGTAATAGCAATACCTGTAACAGGAGTTCGGTTTTTCAGCCTATCCACTTCCATAGTGAAGTCATCTTTCAAGAAAAGGAACCCAATAATGGAAAACAGGTAGACAAGGATGAGAGCCAGGACTGCAGTTAGAATAATAGAGCGGCCATTTCGTGTGACACTTTTTATGACATTCAGCAGAGTCTCTTCTCTGTACACCAAATCAAAAAGCTACAAAAATAAAGAAAACATGAATAAGAAAAAAAGGTGCTGGAGGAAAAAGGTAAACAAACATAATTACAAATATAAATCCAAGCCATTCTAGTTTATATGTAAAGAAATAACCAAACCACCTTAAAAATGAACCAAAGTATTTATTTCTTCTTCAGCTGGAATGTATTAATAAACTGTTTTTCTGGAAAGATACATCTAGCACAACATGTAATATGCATCTGTTGGTTTCATAACCAGCATAATATCAATTTATTAAAACATTATAAAAATTGCCTAGTTTTACATTTGAATTTAGAAAACTTACATTGTACTTTATCAGCTTAGCTACGTATTCTTTATTTTTGGTCTTACTGATATTCCGCAGTTACTTCTGGAATATGTAAAATGGCTAAAGTGAGAATGCTGAATTAGGTCCTCCTAAGTGATGAATAATTGACAAATTCATTAAATGTATTATTTAATCAAGGGATTAGAGGTGAAATTATAAAAACAGTTTTATGAGCTTGATGCAATGAAAAAACCATGAAATTTAAAAATATTTGGGAAATACAAACATCCTTCCTTAGTAACAAGGTATGATGAGGAAAAAAACCTATTACTTTAGTATATGCTTTTGTAAAAGGAAGTATAAACAAACATATAATATGCAATTTTGCTAATCAACTTTAATAGGTTACTACCTCTTTTGTCTTTTGTAGTAGAAAATCTATTCACTAGTCAAGGTATGTGTTTGCAATCTGTAGCTGACACTAAGGACAATTTTATTTATTGCTACATTATAAAGTTGAAATTATACATCGGCAAGTACATGTTTTATTATTAAAATCTGGTTAAATGTAATAAAATCACATTCACTTTTAAAAAGGTCTAAATATCTGTTTGGAAATGAATAGCGTTTTAAAAATTGGAATGATTGGGGCTTGTCTTCTATCTGTGGGCAGTAATTAGGGTTTCTGAACTGGCTGGAATGATCAATTATGTGTCATATACCCTTTCAGGCCCTTTGTTCTATTTTTTTTCCTGAGTGCTGAGGGTTAGACACTTACTGTCCAATTTAATTATAGTCTTGCTATCTAGATATTAACTTGTTTGCTCATCTTAGGAAACTGCTATTTTATGATGGTTAAATTTTTTTAAAATCTATTTTGCTGTCTATCTCATGGAAGGAGCAGACAGCGTTAGAAATAAAGTCAATATTATTCAGCACAGAGAAATTAACTAATGTACATTCAACTTCCAAATTGTCGACACTGTGGCTTATTAAATTTACTTAAGCTGTAAGTTGATGTAGTCAAGATTTTTCTTTAACTCAGTAGGGGTATAAAGAAAAAATCTGGCAACGTGCTGAGGTCAGCTCTCGAGAAAGTTTATAGCTTTCAGAAGCTCCTGGGATGCTAGTTAAAAATGCATATTCCTGAGTTCCATTTTAGGCCCATGGAATCAGAGTTTTGCGAAAGCTATTGATATTGGACAGGCTGATAGCTCTTTCCATTAGTTTCTGAAAAGAAAATCTAGAGTGTGGTTTTTACTACTCTGAATAAAGGACCAACAATTGTGGGTACAACAGGGAATTCATATTCAAATATCTTTTCAAATACAAAAAAATATTTTAAAAATATGCTTACATATCTTTTTTTGGTATTAGATACATTACTATTTTCTTGTAGGATTAAACATCAAAATGGACTATATTCTTTTCAGAACCAACCCAATAAAAACAAACTACCATCAATATGGTAAGATTTGAAAGATAAAAGACCAGAGGAAAATAAAATTAGAAAAGGGAGTTAATAAAAACATAAACATTTATGTACATCATTTTGCAAGTTTTTCATATTATCTGATATGGTTTGGCTCTGTGTCCCCACCCAAATCTCATCTCGAATTGTAATCACCATGTATCAGGGAAGGACCTGGTGGGAGGTGATTGGATGATGGGGTGGTTCCCTCCTGCTGTTCTTGAGAGAGTAAGGGAGTTCTCCAGAGATCTGATGGTTTTAAAAGTGGCAGTTTCCTCTGTGATCCTCTCTCTCTCCTGCCACCATGTAAGACATGCCTTGCTTCCCCTTTGCCTTCCGTCATGATTGTAAGTTTCCTGAGGCCTCCCCAGCCATGTAAGTCAATTAAACATCTTTTGTTTATAAGTTACTCAGACTCAGGTAGTATCTTTATAGCAGTGTGAGAACAGACTGATACATTATCTGTTTAATGGATCTTGATATTCCTGGTCTCCCATACTAACCCTATCCATTTTATAAACAAGAAATTTAAAGCACAAAATTATATAAGCTCATCAAATTGTATATATTAAATGGGTACAGCTTTCTGTACGTCAATTATACTTCAGTAAAGTGGTTTAAAAATTATAGAATATCACATGTCAGTCAGGTAAAAGTGCTGGGTATAATAGGACTTGACCATGACAGGTTAAAAAAATGGACTTATTCTGGTGAATCAGGACAGAAAGAAGATTCATTTAGATTGTTATAACAGAAAAAATTATCTATTGCTGAATAATCTAACTGAACCACCTACAAGTTTATATGATAGTATAATAGACAAATCTCTTCACTGTGGCTCTTTCAAGTGTTTGAGGGTATATGGAAAATTGGCCTCATTTCAGTCTTCTCAAATGGGTGTGCTAGAGAACAAGGAGACAGGAGGTGCTGGATTTATCCCTCATGACTCAGGCAAACTCCTCAACAAAATGTTTTTAGATCTTTAACTTGTGTTCAGGAATCATCTTATCGAACAATACTCTCTACTGCATGCCAACTATGAACCAGAAATATAAATAAATTGTTCCTATTGCATCATGATGGTAACCTGATAGTGCTTTTTAAGTTTCAAAACATTGTCACATATTTGTGTTCACTCCTCTCCTGGTTTATGGCTATAAAGCAGTACATATGTAGGAAGGTAAATCAGAATTTCAAAGAAAAGCAATCTTTAGAAAAAAATCGGAAAGAGTCACTTAATGAGCTAAATATATGTAGAGAAGTTTAACAGCAATGACATATTAAACCGAAAACCATAAGATTGCTCTTAAAAGAACTGATTGTCCTTTTTGCTATAATGTTTTTTATCTCCCTCATTTTACTTATATGCCATTCTAAAGGTACACATAATTTCTGATATTATAAATAAAATACAATGATTTCAGTACCACAGAAAATATACTCCTGTTTTGCCTCCCACACTCTGTAGGAGAATCTTTAAATGTAAAGGAAAATATTAGTTGGATGAAAGCAAAAGCAGCCCTTGTCATGTGAAGCCTGGGTCAAGAGGTGGGGTGATTGGTTGCTTCTCAGAGAGGAAATAAAGAACTCCATCACCTGTGTGGTTACCCAAAGAAAAAAGGCTACAAATGATAATAATTCATGCTTTTCCTAGGAAATTCTAAAAATAACATAATTTGTCCTAAATGTCAGGCTTTGCTTAAAAAAATATCAAAGGAAGAGGCATAAGAAGCAGCAGCATTGTGTATTTTTTCAGGAGTGATTGTCCACATAGAGATGTACTCACCAGGAAGCTATAGAAGAATTCATGGACAAAAAGGCCCAGCATGCAAACCAGGACATATGCCACGTGATAGAGAAAGGCCATATCCAGGATGACTGCTCGGTACCCACGGGTGAACGTGCCACGATTTCCAACAAAACTCACCAGAAATACAATTTTATTACAAAGCTGAAGGGAGGAAAGGATTAGAGATTACTGTCTTATTTATCCTGAAACTCACATGGATGAAAACTATTATTCATAAAGTCCATGACTTTTTGACATGGATGAAACTATTATTCATTAAAATCTATGACTTTATGACATGGATGAAAACTATTATTCATAAGGTCCATGACTTTTTTTTCACAATTTCTCATTTTGTAGTTTTTCAGCATTGCTTACAAATTTGCATGTAAACATAATACATGCAAAACTTGCATATTTTGTGGTTCTAAGAAGAGAGAGAATGATTAAGAAACAATGCAGTCAAGACAAGCCTGGATTTAAATCTTGGTCCTTCCATTACTGTTATGTGACCTAGTTCATATAACTTTGGCCTTGACGATTTCTTCTGAAAAACCGGAATAAAAGAATTTCCACCACATAGAACCTCTCAGAAGAATTAATGATATAATGTACTTGAAGCCCTTAATATAATGACTCCTAAAAATATTACTTGTATTACATTTTTTAGATTAAAAGTAATATATAAAATGTTTTATGATGTAAATATAACAGAAAAATATATTTTCAGGAAATATCCAGAGATCTGTTCTTGATTTTGTGTTTTTATCCTGGATTTTTCCCACTATTTTAAGCAAGTAAGTGATTAAAATTATTTTTCCATTTAATTTACTTTATATACACAGAAAATATAAAAATACTTATATACTTGAGTTAAAATAAATATAGCACATACGTATTTTTTCTAATAATAATTCAATCAACATTTTGGAGTGTTTATAATGCTTCTGACCATGTAGAGTATTTATATTCAAACTACATTTTATATTGCCTTTTGTGGCATAATTTTGGAATGTAGAAATGTATACTGAGATCATTTGTCAATAACAACGATCTGTGTGCACTGATTTATAAACTTAGCACCATCTATTTGGTTCTAGAATCACTGCAGTATTTACAAACTGAGAGCCAATTTTGAGTCTTAGTCATCAAGGAAAGAATTACAGATTTCAGAGGTTTACAGTTTGCTCTTCCTAATCATTCTGAGTTCTTTAGGTTATCTAATGGAACCATACTTGTCTTTAAATGTCCAATCCTAACTTTGGAAAAACAGGTTGCTCTTTGCAACATTGTTGATTTATTCAATATATATTAACAAATCATGGAATGACTTTTAAATAATGTAAGAAGGACCATAACACTTTGAAGTAGATGCAAAATTTGAGGGATTAGAAAGCCTTTCCCTTTCAATTTCTGAAGTTCAAATTAATACAAATGAAGTGAGAAATGGGTTACTATTACATATTTTGAAGAGCCAAACATATTAACAACATAGCAATTAAAAAGGCTAAGCCTTTCCTAAATTTCTCCCCTGCTGATTAAGTATCCTCTCAATAATCGATGTTATCACTTCATTCATGTCTTACTTCACTGTTTAGTGTTTCATCGTCAATATTTTATGTTGTTATTAAATATAGCTGTAGCATAATGGATGTCTTTATATTTTCTGCCCAAGAGCAGTTTTAATATTATAAGAAGTTATTATTTTAAAACCCAGGAAATACAGAAAAATGCTAATCTATATGATGTATTTAACAATAAACACCCCTGAAAATGGTAAAAAAGAGAGTGTCCAGAGAAGTAATATTCAGTAATTATTTAAATTGTTTTGAATGCCATTATTTAAATGCATACTATTTATCTTGATTTACCCACTAGAGTTCATCAATATGAAATAGAAATAAGTTCTATAAACATAAAATTAATAACTGGAATCATGAGTTTTCAGGGGGACAAATGATATGTTTAAGATACATTGTTTATATGATCTCTGATTCTCTAAATTAAATCATAAAAATTATGCAGAAAAACTATAAGCTCCACATACTGAGGAAAAAAATACAGTATTTAAATTTGAATTTAAATTCTCAAAAAGAACAATATGTTTCATTTCTCAAATAATGTAAAAACAAGACTACATTTCTTCCTAAAAGATACTCCACCATTTCACCTGAAAAATAAGAATTTCCCTTATTTGTTTTCAGGTTTGGGGTTTTATTTTTGAACCTGGATCTAAAGCTTGATGAATAGATTCCTGTTCTCTTCACTAAGTCTTGACTTGGAGTGGGGTTGATACTGACAGTGGCATCTACTTATTTCTTTTGAGATCAAAAACAGGGAACTTGTGTCCTTTTTTTCAGAGTGTTCATATGAAGGGGAAATACAGGCAATAATAAATGATTTGGGTGGGAAAGAAGTTGAGCTACGAATTCTCCTTTCTTCATGAAACTTACAAATTGGTTTCATACAGCATTTTCCATGGAAGCTTGGAATATTTATGCCAAGAATGAGCAAGTTGCTAAAACATTCTCCCTTTTCACATTATGAAAAAGTTGGCATCATCTAACCAGTCCTTCATTTGTCAATACAATTTTAGCAAGGGTCAATGTGAGTGATGATATGTGGACAGTGTACCCAGGAAACAGGGCAAGATGGTCACAAAACTCTTCTGAGCTGGTACTAAGAGGTTCCTCAAGTCAACACACAAATACCAATTTGAAGGACCATAACTGTCTCATATATATATTTTTTCTTACTCTGTCTATTATTCAAAGCCACCCTTGACACAGTTTTTGTTGGGAATGAGGTGAATTGTGTGGTGGTGGGGAAAGGGTTAGAATTAAAACAGCATCAATGCAAGCTTTGGGACAGTCTTTAAAAAGTGATAATACACCATCCAAATGATTTATAAATAGATCTTCTAAAAGCAAAAGCAAAATTAAGGTTTGTTTGTTAATTAATGTATACTAAAATAAGTTCATTACATTTATTTAAATTTATTTAATTAAATTATCTATTTGATTATTTATGAAGTTAATTATTACTAATTATTTACTAAATAACAAGTTAAGTTACTAATTATTAACTAAATTATTAATGAATGTAGTTTATTTAATTAGTTAATAATTTAGTAAATAATTTATACAGTGTATATGAAAATACTTCATTGAATAACTTATTTAGCTAATAAATTATGTAACTAATAATGTAACTATTATTACTGAGTAATAATAAAATACTACTTTATTGAATAATTCAATTAATTAATTAATTAGATAATTTTAGTTGAATAAGTTATTCAATAAAGTAGTGTTTTCATATATACTTTATTGTTATGTCTTTGCATGACTTTTAACAGTACAGTACAGTGGAAAGACACTGGGTTAGAAGGTAGGTCATCTGGCTCATCAGAAGGCCAGTCTTGGCTCTGTCACTAATTTCTTGCTTTGGTAAATCCTTCTGGTGTATACAGGACTTTGTTTTCTAATATCTAAAATGAAATGCCTAGATGTGAACAATCCTTAAGCTCCCTTATAGCTGTAGAATTCTATGTGATATCCTTTAAATGTTACCATTTTATTTGATCACCGACCTTTATAGCTGCTTTATCTTTGCCTTTATACTATTTATTTGGTACTCTGTCCCTATCAAGAATTCTATCTCCATCTTACATTGTTCCTATGGGAAAACATGACCTATTTTATAGGAATAAATTGTAGAAAGAAAAAAGACTATGTACTTATTTATTGAAAAGTAAAACTGAATTTATGATTTAACACCATTACCATATTTTCATCAACCAGGTAAATTAACCTTCTTACTAAAAATGAGATGATTTGATTCAAAAATCTCCATTTCAGGGGCATTACACCTAAGGCAGAACAAGTTTCTAAGATCAATGTGGAAGGCAAAATTCGCATGCAGTCAAAATCACCCTGGAAATCTCTTAAATTGCTGACAAAACAGAACAGTAAGCACAGGTTATGTAAATGGTAGCATCTCTTACTAAATTCAGCTCATTCTAGTTTAATGCCAACACTGGACATTGGAGCAGTTTTCTGTTCCTGCAACTAGAAGTAGTTAGGGGCATTCAGTGACCATCTTATATGAAAACAGGTGTGCACACATGTGTGTGCGCACAGAGAAAAAGAGAGAGAAAATATGAGTTTTTACTCCTAATATATCATTTAATTTGTTTATATTAAATTAATATATGGTGGAACTCAACCTTACAAATTAGCAGTAACATGAGACCTCCCAGAAAGCTATCTACAAGTAAGCAACTAGGGACATTACTCTGTTAAATTTGAACACAGTGGCTCACTGTTAGTAGACTAGCTAGCTATCTGCTAAACTCCATTTGCTTCTTCTCTCTGCAAATGGTGAGATCAAGTTATTAAATGAATTATACATTTCCAGGTACTATTAGAAAGGAGAAATCATTGTAAATAAGAAGTTCAGAAGATACTAAAAGATCTTTTTCTGATATTTTAGTACATTGCTATTTATTAAAAATCTGAACAACAAAAATTAACAGAGTGGTTAAACAGATAATATAGCACCCAAATGTAGTTATTAAAATGAGGTTTTCAAATAAATTTAATGGCATGAAAAAATATTAAGTGACCCCAAATTTATAAAATGTGTGCTTATATTTGTCAGAATGTATTAATTTCCATTACCAATAACTAACAGTGCAGTGCAGAGGGAAGAACACTAGACCGGGTTGTAAGATGTGCTTTATAACCGAGAAAAAAAAAACTTGAATTTTTAAAAATATCTCCAATATTGTGATCACTTCTGTGACAAGGCAACCTAGTTGAAATCTAAACCAACTCCTAGTTTTAGAAATGAATAAAGACAATAAAAAGGAAGCACAATAATAAACAGAAACCAGTACTAAGTGGTCAGAAAGCAGGTTGAGGGTTTTCCTCCCACTTGATTCCTTTTCCAAAAAGAAGACTTTCTGCATTGGCTTAACATTGTGAAAGACAGAGTCCAGAAACAACTCTCTGTGAACCAAAATACAAATATTTTTATAATCATAACAAAAATGTTTTACAATTAAAGAATGCTGCATATATTTTTACAGATAGTTGGTAAACAGTTGCCATTGTTCCTATTCTATCATTATCACTGTTATTAACCTTTTCTAAATCTTTTCAACGTATCTCCTTAATAATCCAGTGAGGATAAATCAGGCTTTAATATCTTCCCTTCACTAATGAGAAGAATGAAATTCAGAGGCTTGCTGATTTGCCTAAAGTCTAGAACTCTGATGCTCATTAAGGCAAAACTGTCAGGTAGATGTCTTCTTTTGCTGTTCTTGTTTCTGATACCTATAGTTTTAGCACTTATAGTTTCACCTCTTACACAATGCAATCTTTTAAGTGTAAATCAAATTAATAAATGTACTAAAACTTAGGATACAAAACATGACTAATTGATGTTTTCCTGTATTTATTTCCCACCTCCTAGATAATGATAAACCGTAGATAGCTTTGTAGTGAACTTTTTTGTTTGTTTGTTTGTTTGTTTGTTTTGAGATGGTGTCTCGCTCTGTTGCCCAGGCTGGAGTGCAGTGGCACCATCTCAGCTCACCACAACCTCCACCTCCTGGGTTCAAGCAATTCTTCTGCTTTAGCCTCCCAAGTAGCTGGGACTACAGGCACAAGCTACTATGCCTAGCTAATTTTTGTTTTGTTTCTGAAACAGAATCTCACTTTGTCACCCAGGATGTAGTGTAGTGGCCTGATGTTGGCTCCCTGCAACCTCCACCTCCCAGGTTCAAGAGATTCTCTGGCCTTAGCCCCCCAAGTAGCTGGGATTACAGGTGTTCACCACTATACCCTACTAATTTTTGTATTTTTAATAGAGACGGGGTTTCACCATGTTGGCCAGGCTATTCACAAACTCCTGACCTCGCATGATCCACCCACCTCACCCTCCCAAAGTGCTGGGATTACAGCCATGAGCCACTGCACCCAGCAGTGAACTTGTTATGTTAAAAATGAAGGTAGATGATATTCACTACAACGTTTTTATTTTTTTATTTTTTGTGGAAATGAGGTCTCACTATGCTGACCAGACTGGTCTCAAATTCCTGTCCTCAAGTGATCCTCCCACCTCAGCCTCCCAAAGTATTGAGATTACAGGCAAAACCCATAGCACCCAACCTAAAACATTTTTGTTAATCCACGTAATATTAAAATTACAGATAAAATTTTTTCTATTAATATCAACAATATCAAAATGACAATTATTCCACTGAATGTGTTTGTCCCAAATGAAAGTTGTTTTTCTTGGGTCAAATACTCTGAGCTGGTAGACCATAATGTATCCTTTGACTGTGCAAACAGATGTTCTATGCTGTAAAGGCCATTAGAGTACCCACAGATTTATAAAATTAGTAAGGGAGAGATGGTGCATATCTGCATGTATGTTCTTTCTCATAAAGAAAGTGAAATATAAAACTTGCCTCTCTTATGAAGAGTCATTTGCTATAGTGGAATTATTTTCGCCAAACCAGGCAAAAGTTATCTTCCTATCCTGTCCCACAAGGGGGAAAAAAACTCCAAATGTTTTTGGTTTCCCTCAATAGACATTAGAATGGTATGCCTTATCTCTTTATATATTCTTGGTCCAAAAACAAAGGAAATGCAAATTGGTGAGTATGACACATCAGCTTCTGGATGGCAAGAACCATTTCCTTTATCGTCTTGGTATTTTTAGTGTCTATTATATAACAGAGACCCAGTAAATGGTTATTATTTTTGGCCTAACTCTAGCTATTATTTCATTTTGTCATATTTGGATTTTTTTTTCACTTGGATTCATGTCTTCCTGAGGGCCAGTTACCAGTTTATAAATATTATTTGTTTCTTCAAATAATATAGTTCGATATGCAATGTATGTTTTTTTTTTTTAAGTCAAACGCATAGGCTTAGAAAAATTTAGACAAATTCATGACTATTTTCTAATTTGCTTGGTTGTAATACTGTAAAATTACCTTATTTGCAAGGCATTGAAAGTACATGTTCAGTTCATGTAAACACTTTCTGAATGTTTCAATGCCAGCTGTTAAAGTAGAGAAACATGGAACTGGGAAGGAGTAAGGCAGGTAGGATTAAATTTATAAATGTGACAACTTCTGTCCTCAAGAAACTTACAGAATATTTGGTCCTTTACAAAATTCTTTTCTGATAGATTTCTTCGTAGGTATAGTACACTTCCCTTTATTGAAATGATTGAGGATAACCGGTAGTTTGGTTGCCTGAATGTTCTAGCTAATTGGGAGCTGTCAAATACATCATGTCTAATTTTTGAAGAGTTGTAAATATTTGTTACATATTTATGTGCAAGCCACTGTAAATATATAAGAATATAAAGATAACTGTTTGCTCATTCATTCACTCACTCACTCATTAATTTATTTATTTAGGAAATATTTACTGAGTACCTATAATGTTCTTGATATTCAATGATCAATCCTTAAGCATGGCATAATGTAGTAGGGGAGATTAGTTCTAATTACAGATACCAGAATATAGGACATTACGTTAGAACCCAGTAAAAGATCGAAAGTGCTCTAGGTATTCAACACATAGATTAGCAATACTTATTTTCTTACCTGTCCATTTGTTATTTCATCAGTCTGATGATTTACCTTTTAACATCCCTGTATGGCTGTGCCATGCATAACGTTGGCTAGTCCCATTGAAATTGTATTTATCAGGTAAAATTATTTCTATAAATTTATCACTTGCTTTTTGAAGTACTACTACTCTGAAAGTACTACTACTCTGAAAGTACTACTACTCTGGTTTACTTATTCTAAACTCACCTCACTCAAGCTTAAAAATATGCTTCCTTATTCTAATACTTCAAAATTTGGTCAAAGATTATTCCTCTCTGACTTTAGTAAGTTAATAGCATTTGTTGTTAATAGTATACTCTTTTTCACATAAAAAGAGCCAAATTTAATATTTCTCATATAGAAATCTTTTCTCTTAGGTCATTTGATGAAAGGTATTCACTTTCAAAATTCTATTGAACATAATTTAATCCTTTTTGGATGATTTAGGATGTCACTTTGGAATATTAACAATGGCTCAGTCATTTTTGTCAATAGCTGTGGGTATAGGATGCAGAACACATTAAAACTGGATTGGATTAAATTGATGGCAGAACTAGGTCATGCCCCAAATATAACTTTCTTAAATATGGCAATCTTTTACTTAGCATTTTTTTTCCACTCAAAATTAAATAAAGAATGTACAAATTATGCTTTGGTTAATTTAGATTTACAATAAATTAGAATTCACTATGCATACATGAATTAAAACCATACAGTTACATTTTTATATTTCACATATTTTTAGGCCAATTCTGTAACAGTACAAAGCTAAGTAAAGTACTTACATTAGCTGCACCAAGAAGTATTAATGTAGGCCCAAGACCTATTGTATATATTGATCTGAGCATTATTGATACAAGAAATGGCCGAATACCCACAGGCTTGGAGAAGAAAAACAGCATAGATGTGCAGATCGCAACTGCTATCCAAAGAAGAATCGAGAACAATGGAGAAAGTATACCTGTAAAATGTGGAAGAAATTTATTGTTACTAAGAATAAAGCTAAAAAATGCTAAAATATTTGCTACTCTACTTTATATGCTACCATAAGTCAGAGCCATAATCCATTAAATTTCAAAACACCTTCTACATTCTCAATATTTCAAGGAAATGTCTTTGAACACATTACTCATTATTACATTTCCAGAAAGTTTGTGAATACTTTCATGCTACTTAAATACTCACTAGTTAATGTTCCTTTTATTAAGTCTGAGAACTGTTCATTTTTCTCTCATATGGGGATGGTTTGCTAAATACATTTGATAGACATCTCTCTTGGGAACCTTAATTCAAAATCTATGAATAATGACCATTAGATATATAGCTAAATCATGTGAAATCATTAAAAAATTAAATTCATACCTTGTCTTGTCCTATTATATCAAGTTTCCATATTCCAGATTTCTCTGAAGAATCTAGTAGAATAACTAGCCTTTATAAAATAGACATAACCTTTTACTGCTGAACACACTTGCATATATATGTGTATGAATATGAGCACAAGTGTGTATTTGAAGGCCAACTCAACTTCTAAATAAAATTTTGAGCTATTTAATCATCAGAAAATTCACATTCCAAATACCTTAAAAAATGAACTTCGTTACACATAAGATTTCTTAGGAACTCCCAAAAGGGAGGTTCAAAATATTTTTTCTTAATAAGTAGTACAATTCATTGACATTTACACTGACATGTGCGTTCAAGGAATCCCTCTCTGAAGGTCATGTTGTGCCACATTAGCAGAAGTAAATTAAAAGGCAACATTCTTGGGCTGATTGGATCAGCTCTGGGGCATCAAACACGTGTCTGTAGGCTAACATAGAAAGGAAACAACAAAATGGAGATTTTCCACTAGGTCCTCTGGCAAATATTCAATAACTGTCTTATTATTTTGACCACACCTCTTATCTTTATTTATAAAATTTGCTACTGCATGCAAAACTCTTCAAGGGCTTGGTGTGCATAGCTTTTGTAGTGTCATCAGAACCCTGGGATTATCTGACTCTTTTAATGAATTCTGTATAAACTGTTAGTTCATAGTGTATGCAACATCTAAAAATAGGTAGAAAGATCCTGTCAGCTGTTAAAAGACAAACAAAAAATCAGATAATGAACAGCACTCATTTAAGACATGTTTACTTTTGCAAGTTTTGTTCTTATCATGCTGTCTCCTAAAGCAAACAATGATGAAAGGAGCTTGGGAAGAGAGATTTGATATTACCCCTCACCAAATTTATAATCTGATAAGATTAATTTGGAGATGGGGAAAGAAAAAGGGTAAACTGCTCTGAAAGTTATCTTCAATTCCTGTCTTCTTGCAGTGCCAACATACAAGTACTCTACTCACGTTTATGATGATGTTGGCTTATAAGCGCTCTACATCTACCAAAATTTAGGCTGACCACCAACTGCCTTGACCTCACAGCTGTATAAGAGCCGTAGAGTAAATAATGCCTTCAACATTCTCTCTTGCTTATTGGGACTTGAGACTCCATCAGAATGCAAATTCTAAAAGAGTGAGGACCATCTCTAGGCCTATCATCATGCCTGTTATGCAACAACAAACAAAAATTTGTTGATTGAGTAAATAAACAAAAATCTATTCCGTGAGTTTGTTTTGAGTAAATGAAGTCTCCAGTTATCAATTTCCCAAGTCATGGAGCTTAGCTTTTAAGTTCACCAAAACTGACAATATCTACAAGGCACATTTATAGCTTTGAGCCAGTTATTTGACTTTTCAGTGTAATTCATAAGCAATGTCTTGGTGACATCCTTATTCTAGGATAATTTGGCATAAATACTCACATTGTGCATTGTCACTAATTCCTGATAAGCTATCCACCTCTTCACTATTCTTTCTAAGACAATACCTGGTTTGCCAAGATTTCCCCTTGATCAAACAGAAATTATAGTCATGCACTTAAAACTGGGTGTTCGATCTCTTTGTGAAAAGGACTCAAAGAGTGCCTAGTATAGCAGCTTGCACATACGTTCATACTAAATATATATTTGTGGAATGAATAAACCTAAAAGTTATTTAAAACAGCTATTGACAATGATGTTTGTAATTATCTTCTGTAAGAATGATCATATTGGTTTCTATCTAAAGATTCAATGCTAAAAAAAAGAACTCAAGTCTCTCTGAGAAACTCCAGAGAAGACAGTATAGATTTTCTTTGAGTCTTGTTCTGTCAGCCAGGCTGGAGTGCAGTGATATGATCTCAGCTACTGCAACCTCTGCCTTCCGGGTTCAAGTGATTCTCCAGCCTCAGCCTCCCAAGATGCTGTGATTATAGGCACCCCCACCATGGCTAGCTAAATTTTGCATTTTCAGTAGAGTCAGGGTTTCACCCTATTGGCTAGACTGGCCTCAGACTCCTGACCTCAGGTGATCCACCTGCCTTGGCCTCCCAAAGTGTTGGGATTACAGGCCTGAGCCACCTCACCCAGCCAACAGTACAGATTTTCAGAGTCATTCTTTACCCATTAGTGGTGGAAAGGGAGGAGCATTTTCTCTGCTTAATGCTTTATATATGTATCCATTTTCTATAATAAGCATGATATTATTTTAATACAAAAATTTTATAATTTATCCTATACATTTTTAAATTTTAGAAAGTATGAAGTTTATCCTTTATAAAAGAAAATTCAGAAAGCAAAATTGCAAACTTCAATCCAGTTCACACACTGGAACTCTGCTATCTACCTCATGCAGACTCTATAGTTTCCTGTACAGAACATGCTGCTTCTTACTTCCTTGTTTCTCTCCATTCCTCTGCCTTCCAAGTAGCCTCAGAGAGTTTCCTCTACCTCAGTCCAGCTAAAGTAGGTATCCACTCATAAATCCCTAGGTGGTCTTTACTATTGTGCCTTATTCATTTTTTGTCCCTTAATTAGACTGTGAATTCTTTGAGGGCAAGGACAAGTTTACTGATCTTTCTATTTTTAGGGCCTAGCACAGTGGCTGGCAAATGGTGGCACTCCATCAGTAGTTAAGTTGAAGGAATTGAAATCACCATGAAGAACTCATTTTCTTTAACACAAAGCACTTGAGGGAAAAAAAGAGTTACACTACAAATTTTAATATTATTTTTTTTGAAATCACATGCTATCTTGATATAAAACGTTCCCATGGCATCAATTTTCTCCACTAACTAGTCTGCCTTTGCCAAATGAAATCCAGGGTAGGGAAAGCTAGTATGGCAACTGTCAGCTTCTGAGTGGACATCCAGGAGATTCCCAGCATCAGCAGCTGCTGCTTCATTCACAACCAGCATAGCCTCATTCCTCAATGATGGCACGTTTCTTTTCTAGAGAAGCATATGTTAAACAAACAAACAGCCATGAAAACCAATCACCCAAACAAAGAAACCAAAACCAAAACCTTCGCCATAAAAAATAAGCCCTGGAGTCCTGAACAAATTCAAACCAAGCTCTTCAAAGCCTGGCAATTAAATCTGCAGTAGAGGGTGAAGAATGTGCAACAGGCTGGTCCTCTGAGAATTCTCTCTCCCATAACTGTCTCCCTTTAGTTATTGTACTCCATTACCTGGTTGAGGAGGAAAACTACTCTCTCAGTTAATATTGAAACCCAAGTGTGAACCAAATATTCGGGCACAAGAAACTCCTAGTAGTTCAGGCGTTCAGACTGGGAAATGTACCTGGAGGATGCATACACAGCTCATTCCCTTTGCCAGGCCCTCTGTTCTCACCACCACATTGGAATAGCATATATTAGGGTCTGAGGTTAGAAGGGTGGCATAGAGGTCTTTTTCTGGTCCAAGACTTACCAGGTTATTTCATAATCAACTTCTATATTGAGTCAAGGAACTTCAGGGTTGGACAGAATCTTTACATTTATGATTTTTTCTTTTTTAACTTTATCCTTTCCCAAGATTCCCCAAATGTCAACATCTTATATAACTACAATGATCAATATCAGGAAATTAACATTGATAGACCACTTTAATCATCTATCTAGTCAAAACTGGCCAATTTCCCAATTTATGTCCTTATTCTGAACCAGGGTCACACATGGGATTCAGTTGTCATGTCTCTTTACTCTCTTAATTTGGATAGTTCCTCAATCTTTTATTGTCTTTCATAAGCTTGATAACTTTGAAGAGTACTGGCCAATTATTTTGTAGCATACCCCTCATTTGGGGTTTGTCTGAAATTTTCTCAGTTTATTCATTTTTGGAAAATGATGTTACATCCTGGTCAGTGATTGTACCAGGAGGCACAAGATGTTGCTGGGTCTCATTACTGGTATCATTAATGCTGATCATTTAAAGTGATTTCCCCCAGTTTATAGTTATTATTTTTCCTTTCACAATTAAGTATATTGTGGGGAGAGATTTGTACATTATATATAGGTTATATACTTTTCATCATATAGTCACCCATTAATTTTAGCATCTACAGTACTGATAATTTTACTACTGTGATGTTTGCCAAATGGTAACATTCTATTTCCATCATTCTGTCTACACTTTATTAACTGGAATACAATTATTGACAAAAAGAGCTTTCTCTTCCCACTATCAATAGGAATTCCTGGATTCTTATTTTATTCTATGGGAGATAGTGTATCACTGTCAATAATCTTTTCCTCAAAATTTTCTCATATTTGACCTCCTGGAGACCTTTCATGTTGGAACCTGTGTTCTCTGACACGTCTCCATCATTTTAAAGCACTTCTTGAAGGAATTTTAATCTATCTTTAATCTCACCCATCTCTAAGTCCCTTCATAGTGACCCGGGCATACAGTTGTTCAGCCTGTTTGACCAAATCCAGCATCAGAGAACCTTTACCTCCAGCACAGAGTTTTCCTTCTCCAGACAATTCTGATGGCCAAGTGTGTATATGAGTCTTAGCTCTGTTTCCTCAGCATTCCTAGCCATGCAGTGTGTAACAGATTAAGAATAAGCAAATCCTGACCAAAATGTTAACCTTATTCATGGAGCTATAATGAATTAACTCATCCAGAACTGTAACCAGATGACCCAGACACAGCCTTGGATTTGATACTGCCAAAATGGCAGCCCATGCCTTTCCTTCCCTCTAAGCACCTCATCCACTTAGATATCCTAAGCTGAGCCTTTACCTTGGTTACTGCTGTTAACTCCTATCCAGTCCTTTTTGAGAAGTAAAGTCTGCATCTGCACCTGATGATGAAGCACCATCTCTTCCAGTCTTGCATTTGTTAGTCCTATTTCTGTCTGAGATTTATTCCAAGTCCTCCAATATAGGTAGTTTCAAGTCCTTGTTCAGGGACAAATTACACCAGCAATAGTGAGCTTATTTTTAAAAAATACATATTTTTGGATTCTAATTACCAGGAAAATCTTCAGCCTCAGTTTCTTCATCCATAAGAATATTCTTTCTCCTTATACAGAATACAGATTTGTCAGGAAGATGAAGTGAAATGTATCTGAGGTGCTTAGCATTTTGCCTGACCCTATCTAAGTGGTGAACAATATCTGCTGCTGTTATTATTATCAGTATTACTATTACAACTCTTATTGGCCAGGCAAGTATTACAGATACCATGTGTTCTGCTTCTCCTGAATGAGTAAAGAGCAACTGCCCAGAGGGGTGACATTTCCCATCACCATTATATTTCACGTACAATAGGTGGCAGCAGAGGCTACATACATTGGCTCTGGTGGTCAAGAAAAGGATATCATGGAACAGAACTCAAGGGAAATTAGGTCCTGTATGAAGAAGGGGCACCTGTTATTGACACGCTTCCAATCCATGGAGAAAGGTCCTAGATTGGACAAAAAAGGGTTAGCTTTCTACTCTAATATCTGCCATTTTTTAGGCTTTCTGGGCTAGCATCTGTTCATTTGTCAAATGAGTGCTTGGTGTTAGATGATTTCCAGAATTGCTTCCATTTCTAAGACTTTATGCTTCTATTAACTGGGACTCTATAATTTTTCAGCATTCTGTGTGCAGATATTAATTTATCATTTCATGCTGGACTTCTTTCCTCCCAAGAGTTATATTCCTCTGTGCTATGAGTTGATCACTAAAGAAGACTAAACACAGTGAAGAGAAAGCTGTTTTTACTTTCTGATGTATTTGCAGTTGTTCTATAATGGATGGCCAAATATTTGCTACATTTTCACTGTTACTTAACTTGCACATCCACTCCATTACCTAATATTCTTATTTTATTATAGGTATGCCTTCCAAAAACAGTGGTTATTCATGACCACTCATATTACAGCTAAAGTTTAGAACTTTGATATCTATGTTACCTGTAATGAACTTGTAAAACAGCAAATGACTCTTAGACTCCCATTTCCTTTCCTGCCCACTCCAGTTCATCTGAAATAGGCTGAAATACCTGTTACTCTCATCATACTGTCTTTCCACTAGGCTTCCTTCTGTACTACAAATATGTACCTTTTAAAGAGCAGCCACCACCACCACTGAACTTTGTTTAAAGTTTATCAGGTACTATTCTAAATGCTGTACCTACAGCATCTTATTAAATTCCCACAGTTATCCTATGAAATGAGACACAAACGTACTTCATAGTTATTATTAGCCAATTTCTCTCACCTTTTCTTCCAAGCCATTCTTTCTATGCCCATTCCAAAGTTATTTACCAGATTGTAGCCCAAGCCTGTAACATATTTTCCATGCTCTCCACCAAACTTACACAAAACTTACTTCACAAAGTCTCATGCTTCAGTATATTTCTCCTATATTTCTCACTTCACTTAAAATGGTATAGTTTCTCATGTTTTTGCTTTTGAATTAGCTTAATAATATTAGTTTTACATTCAGTATCCTTTATTTTCCTATTATGATATTGTTTTATGCTGTTTGCTTTTGAAACCTGAGATGACAAACATTTAATTCTATTAAGAATTCCTGACTTTCCTATAGAATTAAAAATTGTTTTTAGGTTACATGTATGCTCATTATAGAAACCTTAGACAAGACAGAAAACAAAGAGAATAAAATATAAATGCTAGTATTTAGGTAACAACAATTAATATTTGGACACAGAACTGTCATTTGCATGATTGAGATGATACAGTATAAAAATATTTTGGGTAATAATTAGGTAGAAATAACAAATCTCTTCATTGCTTTATTTGCCAAGATGTAATATAGCCCTAATAACAATTGTGCATATGAGATTTTTGAAAAATAACAATTCTATTAACCATACGTTTCCACCTATTATACATACTATCATACTCTACTTCCAACAAGTATAGAAAAATTCATTTAACAGGAATGAAATTATTCTTATTTTGAAGCTCTAAATAGTTAAGTGGCAACTTTAAAACATTTGTCATTTAAGGAAAAAAAAAGCACTTGCCTTCATCTCCATCATCCCCAAATGGGTAGAAGAGAGCAACAGCTAAATTGATGAACACAGCCAGGTTGAAGGAAATGCTCCCCCAGAGAGAGATATGCCTCGAGAACCAGAACAGTGCAGGGTTATCTAGGAAGCAAGAAGCATAAAGGAACAGAACAGGAAAATAAATTTTGGTTTCAACACATCAGGCTTACCGAAATAATATTTTACTAAATGCACTATTTTTGTAAACTATTATAAAAACCTATTTAAATAAATATTTGACTTGAGTAAGTTTGTTAAAAACAATCAGAACCATAAAGGAATCTTCTATTTGATTCCTTCTTTCATTCTTTAGCCAGTTTAGACCTAAACTATTGTAGAAGGGTGAGAAATTTTGCAATTGCTAAAAGTGGTCAGAAAAAGTGATTTTGTAATAATTCTATCTATCCACAGAGCAGGTTAGGGGGAAGTCAGTTTAACAGTAGCCTGGGTCCCTTTTAATGAAATGATATACTTCCTTATATAATTTGGTAATATTGATAAATTGGTCCCACTCCCATGTCTTAAAGTCAAATAAAAAAACTCCAAACCCATAGCACAGATATATTTCTAACGAAAATTCCTATGACACAGTCACGGTTACCTGAAACTATGAAACCTAACCAAGTGGCATAGTATTCCTGACTGGGAACTAGTAATTTATAATATTATCTACATTTTAAACCTTAAATCTTCCTAAGAACTTATTGGGTTTGAAACAGCAGAAGAAAATGAGCACTATAATAAAAACTGCTAATAAGTGGAACAGGCTTTGCTGAATATATTCAGCAAACGACTGTGTGTCTGTTATCAGAAATGAGGTAGTAAATGTGTCAATCGAATACAGTTTACATGAACCAAAAAATCAGTTCTTTCCACGTCTGTTAAGTAACTGAATAGATTTGTAATCCATGTTAAGTTTGAATGACAGCCAAATTTATTCACCTGCACTGGGCACTCACATGGCTCCTATAGGTCTTGTCCATTCTCTAATTTTAAAAACTTAACACCAGGATTTAAAAAATTGAAGCCAAAGGCATATCAATTTTCAAATGGAAATGATAAAATTTGTAGATAGATCCTGTGAATTTCAACCTAGTGCCTATTGCCTACTTACAAACTGTATTTCTCTTCAGCATATCTTGTTTCCCTTCCCTTGGAAGGGAACATTCCAATGCTGAAATATACTATGATTAGCTATGAAATTTAATTGACTAATGTATCCTAAACTACAAACATCTGCATCTCCATCATTCCTGAATTAGGAGTCCTTGTTTTTAAAGGTAGACTATTAAGACAAAATTAGAAGATGTTGATGCATGCATTTGTAACAACAAATCTTCACTATTAAATCCACCAAATGAATTAGATTCTACCTATAACTTCATAATTAGCTGCTTCCAAATATTAAAGTAAAATGTGCACTGAAAATTATTTTAAGATTTAATTTTTGGTAAATGACAAAACAACTATTTTTTTAAAAGCACAGACCCGCCCCCACCACCACAGCACTAGTTAATTATTCAATTTATTGTCAAGGAGAAAATACACGTTTTTTAAATGCTCCAAATAAAATAGTGTCTTCACATGTATTTTGGACACCCAAAATTTTCACTGAATTCCATAAGGCTCTACATGGTAAAATGCTAAGGGAGAGTAATTTTAAATAAAAAAAAAACAAACAAACCTGTTTTAAAAGCCTAAAAATGCATGCCACACTCGTATAGATGATATTTCTCAAGCAGCACTCAAATTCATAAATCATACCCATTATAGTTCCTGAAAACTAGCATAATGAAATACTATCAAATAGAAGTACTGAGAACATATCCTGTTTGTCTAGAAAACTCCAAGGGACCAAAAAAGACCTACTCAAGAATTTCCCCCATTGAACTTTATGAAAAACTCATGAGATCTCTTATCTTGGAAAATAAACTAAAGTTTATTTAAAATTTCTAAAATTTTAAAATGCAGTGTTTCCTAATAGACTTGGAACCTAATAGATAAATCATGGGAACTGTACTAAGCTGATTTTTAACTGTAATATTATAACATTGCTCTATTTAAACAAAAGTGTCATGAAATGTACAGCTTGTTTGATTTGGGGAGGTAAAGATACGTTCAAAGAAAGAATTACAGTCAGCAAAACATGAAACAATCCCTTCAATCACAGGACAATAGAGGAATAGTGCACCAGAGACGATGTCTCTCAATCCTATTCACTGATACGCCAGTCAGGGCCCATTCACGGACTTTAAACCTGCAGCTGTTCAATATTTGAAATGTACACTTGCAACCCTGCATTTCATAATATTTATTAAAAAATAGGATCATCACGAAGAGATGATGTAATTAATTAGGGCTCTCTGTTTTCATTAAGCTGCAGGTGTCTTGGCTCCAGTGGTAGACTAAGCGGACACCTTAAGCCTGCAAGTGACTTCAATAATATCAGACTGGCAAGAAATTAACAAAACAATTTAAACGAACTGCATCGTTTGTCCCAAAGTATCAAATTATCGACCACTATGCACAAAACTAACCACTTCAGTTTATTGTACTTACTCCTGATTTTCTTCTGCCACTTCATTTCATTATAGAGATCTTCTGTTTGCTGGAAAAAGTCATTCACTTTACTTCCTTGTTCATCTCTTTCAGTTGTATTGAACACACGGCACTTGGATTCTCGAGTGAGGTATTCACATATATTGGGGACAGGAAAAACGATTTGTTCCATTGTCCTATCATGCCGAACAATCTGAAAACATTAATTTGTATTGTTTTTAGACATTTGGTCACCTCAGCCTTAGACTTATTTTTGTTTTTTTGTTTCATTTGTTTTGTTTTGTTTTGTTTTGAGACAGAGTCTCAATCTGTTGCCCAGGCTGTAGTACAGTGGCACGATCTCAGTTCACTGCAACCTCTGCCTCTGGGGTTCTTCTCCTGCCTCAGCCTCCCAAGTAGCTGGTACTACAGGTGCATACCTCCACACCCAGCTAATTTTTTATTTTTAGTAGACATGGGGTTTCACCATGTTGGCCAAGCTGGTCTCAAACTCCTGACCTCGGGTGATCCACCCGCCTTGACCTCCCAAAGTGTTGGGATTATATGCATAAGCCACTGTGCCAGGGCTTGTTTTTGGTTTTAACATGAATTTACTGATGATGTTTTATGAATTCAGTTGTGAAAAAATGTGCCAACTTGAAATATCTAAAAGAATCCTTTTTTACTTTACTGTTTTGCATTTTTCTCTTTAAATAAGAGGAATTAATTGACTAATATATCCTAAACGCTACACTTTGCTTTAAATAACAAAAACTAAAACCTTTTATTCTTTCTGACTTAGCATTACATTTCTGTCACCCATATATATTTTCATGAAGTACATCCTAAAACTAAGACAGTCTTAATTAGAAAGTGATTGGCTGGGTAGCCTTAAACATAGCACTTATACTGTGTGTATTTTGTTCTTTTAGCCTCCTTGTCCTAAAAGGGGCTGTTGGATAACAAGTGATATACTCAACATTATGTGGTCTGAACTCTACAGAGAAAAGTGCTTTTTATCACTAAAATGTTCTCTTATTCATGGCAACACACATTTTTTAGGTACAATATCCATGTAAACATATACCCATATTTAAATACTCATCATTTTGAGCCTCCCTTATTTGTTATGGTTTATGTAGCCTAAATTTCAAGGTTCATATTTATGTACAGTGCCCAGTTCTCAGGAATGAATAAGGATTGGCTTAACTCAAAAGAGTAATTCTCTTTCCCTTTGCATTTACTGGTGCGGTGGTGGTCATGGGCCATGAGGCATAAAGAGAAATCTCCTAAAAGGGCTTCCAGGAAAGATTTTGTTTCTTGGTAAAAGCAGAGAGCCACAAGAGACAAAGAAAACAACAATAACCAAATATATAAAAATAAAAGAATTTTTTTGGTTTGTTTTTTGGTTTGTCTGTATCCTTTTTCTTCTTGCTTAGAACAAAAGGGTCTAAGGGCAGGATGATTGAAACTCTAGCAGCCATTTTGCAACCATGAGGTGAGAGAGTATCAGCATGATAAGAAACCTAGTATAAAGATGTGAAGGATCTGCATGTTTTAAGACATCACTGAATCATTGAATCAATTATAGAACTACTGGTACTCTAGACTTCCCATAAAGCAATATTTTACTGTTTAAACAACTGTCAGTGTGGTATTTTATTAAACTTGTAACTGAAGGTATACTAAATGATATGTGATATATTCAATTGCATACTAGAATACTGTCATAGAGCAAATAACATGAAATTTAGTCGGGGTAAATAAAAATTCCTGCATATAGGTTACAAAAATCAATTGTACAAAATAATTTGACACATTTGGTATGACAGGCAACCATGTGTGAAGAAAAAAGGTTTACTTGATCCAATAGTGTCAAATATTTTTTTTTCCATTTATTTATTTTATTGCATTTTAGGTTTTGGGGTACATGTGAAGAACATGCAAAATTGTTGCATAGGAACACACATGGCAGTGTGATTTGCTGCCTTCCTCCCCATCACCTACGTCTGGCATTTCTCCCCTTGCTATCTCTCCCCAGCTTCCCACCCCCC